CACCTCGCGTTGGCACACCAAGAAACTGCCCCGCAAGACGCACAAGGGTCTGCGCAAGGTCGCCTGTATCGGTGCCTGGCATCCATCCCGTGTGTCCACAACTGTGGCACGTGCTGGTCAGAAGGGCTATCATCATCGTACCGAGATCAACAAGAAAATCTACCGCATCGGTGCTGGCATTCACACCCAGGATGGCAAGGTAAGAATCTCCCATGCATCAAAAAAAAAAAAAAAAAAAATCTTTAAATGATGATAAAAACCTATTAAATAACGACATCGAAAAACAAAAAAGCTTGATAAACCGTGATATCTATAATGATAGGACTGATCACATTTTGAAAACAAACTGCTTTGCTTTTGTAGCCAGTCCATTAATGTATACTCTTCTATTTCCAGGTCATCAAGAACAACGCTTCCACGGAGTACGATTTGACCGACAAGAGCATCACTCCCATGGGTGGCTTCCCCCACTACGGTGAGGTCAACAACGACTTCGTCATGATTAAGGGTTGCTGCATTGGCTCGAAGAAGCGCGTCATCACTCTGCGCAAGTCGTTGCTGCGCCACACCAAACGTTCGGCGCTGGAACAGATTAAGCTGAAGTTTATCGACACCTCATCCAAGATGGGTCATGGTCGCTTCCAGACCCCTGCCGACAAGTTGGCCTTCATGGGTCCACTCAAGAAGGATCGCCTCAAGGAGGAGGCAGCTGCTACCACCGCTGCTACTGCCGCCGCTTCTACCGCCTAAACATTTATCCATATTTTGTATCGATCAATCAATACAAGATAAGATCCGTTTACTCGGTGTTTTATGTGTTGACTTCTGCCGTCTCCGTCACGGCACGGTTGGCTCAATAAAAGATGACCTTATAAAAACTGAAAAACATTTTGACTTGTTATATAAGGGAATATAAACCATCAATGTCTATGACTGCCACCAGTTACATTGAACAGGCTACATAACTAGGAAAGTCCTTATATTTTTATGCTATTAGTATTCTTTAGTGAAATAAAAAAAAACTTGGCTATCATTGAACGGGAGCGCTCCTAATTAAAGGCCGTAAATAAATAAGTATCAATTACTATATGAAAACAAGTAGGTTTAATAGAAAATAGGAAATTAAACTAATTAATATGTTTGGTAACTTAAATCAATATTCAAAGTGGAATTAGATCTTCTGCTGCTCTTTATTATTGATTAAGTAATGATATTAATACATGTAATTCAATTCTCTGTATAATATTAATGTTCCTTAGAGAACCTTAATGTCGGGCACAACCTTCTCGTTGTCGTAGATCTCCTTGGCATAGCAGAGATTGGGATAGTCAAAGGCGGCGCCATATCGGTTCTTGCAACCAGAGGTGGCCTTGTCGCCGGGTGTGTACACGGGCTGGCCAATCACGTTGGTAGTGGCAAAGTTACAGGTGAGCACGAAGTGGTTGTAGWAATCGCGAGAGAAGCGCACAGCGGCACAGCCCARATGGGTGTTCTTCTCTGCCACGGCAACGGTGAACTTGGCCACATTCTTGTTGGGCAAGTCTTCTGGGAAGCTGGCCAAGATCTCAGGGGAAGCATTGGCACGCTGCTTAAACCAGTTCTCGATCTGCTCCTTGATAATCTCCGCATCGGTGTACTCGGACTCGGCMCCRCTGTAGCTGAACATGGCATTGTTCTGGCCAGCGTAGGCGAAGCGCTCCGTGCTGCGGCACTTGTCGGGAAGGGATTGGCATGTCTTCACGTTATATAAAGCCAGGTGAGCCAGTTCCTCGCACCAGGTCATCTTGGCCATGCGCGCTGCCTTGGGCAGCCCCTCGATGGCGCCTCCAGCAACTGTGTTGCGCAGCTCATTGAACAGAGTCAGGATCAACTTCTCATGGGGCTGCATATTCACCTCTCGCACATCCTTGGGGCAGTTCTCGCTAAAGTTCTGCAGAATGTCTGTGTTTGTAGTGGATTGCTGCTGGAAAGGATTAAATACTTACTCCTTTATTATTGCAGGCAATGTGCTTGTCCAGGCAGGTGGGCAAGGCGCAGTAGTCCACGGAGGCAACGAGGCCTACTAAGGCTGTGGCCAGCACTAAGAAGCTACAGACTTTGGAGAACATCTTGTACTTGATGACTGTTGGCTTGTAACTGAGGCATCCCTACAACAGTAGCCCCATTTATACCAATGTGAGCTGCGACAGGGGCCACAGGTGTTATTAATGCAAAGGAGTGAGTCAATGCGATAATGGGCGAAAACACAGATGTGAGAATGGATTAGGCTGAGCAGAACTTCAAGCTAACTCAGTTGCGATGACATAAACCAGAAGTTGCAAATAATCGAAGCATGTGTCTGCAATGAACATGAATGAGTGTACATCGATTCTTGGAATGTGTGATCCAAGCAGTGCTATAAATGCGCGCCTGCTTCGCTTGTTGAGCATCAGTTAAGTGCGAACAGTTGATCGGAACAACATATCAACAATGAAGGTATTTCTTTTGATGTCTGTCCTAGTTGGCCTCGTCGCCTCCATCGACTACTGCGCCTTGCCCACCTGCCTGGACAAGCACATTGCCTGCAATAATAAAGGAGTAAGTATTTAATCCTTTTCAGCAGCAATCCAATATAAATCTGTATTTGAATGTCTGTATTCTGCAGAACTTTAGCGAGAATTGTCCCAAGGATGTGCGAGAGGTGAATATGCAGCCCCATGAGAAGTTGATCTTGACTCTGTTCAATGAGCTGCGCAACACAGTTGCTGGAGGCGCCATTGAGGGGTTGCCCAAGGCAGCGCGCATGGCCAAGATGACCTGGTGCGAGGAACTGGCCCACCTGGCTTTATATAACGTGAAGACATGCCAATCCCTTCCCGACAAGTGCCGCAGCACGGAGCGCTTCGCCTACGCTGGCCAGAACAATGCCATGTTCAGCTACAGYGGKGCCGAGTCCGAGTACACCGATGCGGAGATTATCAAGGAGCAGATCGAGAACTGGTTTAAGCAGCGTGCCAATGCTTCCCCTGAGATCTTGGCCAGCTTCCCAGAGGACTTGCCCAACAAGAATGTGGCCAAGTTCACCGTTGCCGTGGCAGAGAAGAACACCCATTTGGGCTGTGCCGCTGTGCGCTTCTCTCGCGATTTCTACAACCACTTCGTGCTCACCTGTAACTTTGCCACTACCAACGTGATTGGCCAGCCCGTGTACACACCCGGCGACAAGGCCACCTCTGGTTGCAAGAACCGATATGGCGCCGCCTTTGACTATCCCAATCTCTGCTATGCCAAGGAGATCTACGACAACGAGAAGGTTGTGCCCGATATCAAAGTACTTTAAGGAATGGGTGAAAGTATGAGTATTCATAGTTGCTGACTGACCGCTTTAAGATGTAATATAAACCCTTGAAATATATAATTATAAAAAATAACGATTTGGCATTCTACTGATTTCGCCTTAAATGTGATTGTAGATGGACTCAAGTTGTTTAGACACAGAAAATGCATTTGAAGAAAAATCAGCTATTTGAAATTTAACTACTATGCGTTCAATCAGCTGATCGATATTTGAAGTAAGTTGGCAGCACTATTTTAAGCAAAGATGTTACGCCAGGTTTTCCGAATCGGCAGCAGGCGCAGCTACAGCTATAAATCTGTTCGTCGTCCTAACCTTGGTGCGCTGTCTGGGAATGTAGAGTTGGAGGAGAGACAGAAGCCGAAGCAACCATCTGGGGCAAATGCGAGCCAGAATGGTAACCTAGCCAAACAGTTGGCCGCCAAAATTCAAGCGACCGGGCCCATCACCGTGGCCGAATACATGCGGGAGGTGCTAACGAATCCCCAGGGTGGATACTACATGAATCGGGATGTGTTTGGACGGGAGGGTGACTTCATAACATCTCCGGAGATATCTCAGATTTTTGGAGAGGTGAGTTCCGTCCGAATATACCCAACCGAACAGATCTGTGATCAAGAAAACTCTATTTAGCTCGTGGGCATCTGGTTGATGAACGAATGGCAGAAGCTGGGCAGTCCATCGCCTTTCCAACTTGTTGAATTGGGACCAGGACGGGGCACACTGGCCCGTGATGTGCTTAAAGTGTTGTCCAAATTCAAAAGTGGCGCTCAGTTCACCATGCACATGGTCGAGATTAGCCCGTACCTCAGCCAGGCGCAGGCGCAACGCTTCTGCTACAAGCATGAGGTCCTGCCAGAGGGGGAGCAGCTGTCACACTACCAACTTGGCACCACGGCCACGGGAACGCAGGTGTTTTGGCACCGCCGGCTGGAGGATGTACCAGCTGGGTTTTCTCTGTTGCTAGCGCATGAGTTCTTCGATGCGCTGCCTGTGCACAAGCTGCAGCTTATCGATGGCCAGTGGCAGGAAGTGCTCATTGATGTGGACACAAAGTCGACGACTGCTGATTTCCGATACGTTTTGTCCAAGGCTCAGACGCCCGTGTCGCAATTGTTCAAGCCGGTGCCGCAGGAGCAACGCACCTGCCTAGAGTACTCGCTTGAAGCGGAGCGACATGTGCGCCTTCTGTCAGAGCGACTAGAGCAGCATGGGGGCATCGCCTTGATCATGGACTACGGCCACTTTGGCGACAAAACAGACACGTTTCGAGCTTTCAAGCAGCACGCTCTGCACGAGCCACTGCTGGCGCCAGGCACGGCGGATCTCACAGCCGATGTCGACTTCAGGCATCTAAAGCACGTCGCAGAGATGCACGGCGACATCCACTGCTGTGGACCAGTGCAGCAGGGCGACTTCTTGAGAAATATGCAGGGCGAAGTGCGCCTGGAGCAGCTGCTGGCCCATGCGTTGCCCGAGAACCAGAGCATCATACGCTCCGGCTACGAGATGCTTACCGATCCAAACCAAATGGGCAGCCGATTCAAGTTCCTTGCCATGTTTCCCGGCGTAGTGGCTGCCCACTTGGAGAAGTATCCCGTGGCTGGCTTTGGATAACATATGCTTTGTATTTAATATATAAATGTTCTGTTCTATACATGATCTACTATAGTAATGTTTCGAATGTGGGCTATTTCTTTTGGAATGCTGCGTTGATGGTGTGCATCTCGCTGCTGGTGAACTGAAGGACAGCGCTGATGGCGTTCAGCATATGTCGCTTGTCCTCCGCATCTCTCGTGACAATGAAGCTAATGACAACGTTCTTCAGATACTCCAAGTTGGCGCCCTCGCGCGTCTTGCAGCGCTCCAATCTGGATTGGAAGATGGGCAGGGAAATCAGCACAAAGTGGCATAAATTGAAGTCTTAACTCACCTATCCACTTGCTCCTCGAGCTGTTCTATCTTTTCGTGCATCTCCTGCTGCGCCGTAACTTTATCCTGTATAGCTTTCCTAAGCGTCGACTCCGCAACGTATTTGGATTTGCGCAACGCTGTAATCTCAATGTCCTTGCGAGCCAGCTCGTTGGCGTAGTGCAGCATGTGACAGTTCTCGCCCAATGACAGCTTCTTGGGCTTGACCTTCATCTTCGTCTCCCGTTCGCCCTCGACCTCCACGCTGTCCGCGTCTGAGGAGTAGGCAAAAGTTTCGCTGGTTTCTAGAGGCGACGCGTTTGGCTTGTGGAACACCTCGAAGGAGGTCTGCAACGTTTTAATCTCCTGCTCCTTCTCGTCGAGCAGTTGGAGTGAACGCTGCCGCTGTTTTTGCAGCAACTGCTCCAGCTCGTTCAGTTTGCAACGCGTCTCATTTTCCAACTCCGCCTTCGCCTCCTGCCACTTGGCACGCTCGTTCTTGAGCGCTATGCGCATCTTGTCACCCTGCTGCTTCAGCTCAAGCTCGGCCTCGTCAATGTTGCGATTGAGCACCTGCACCTTGTCCTGCAGTGTCTGGATGTGTGTCTGCTGCAGCTGAATCTTCTGCTGCAGATGCGCCTCCTGCTGCTTACTGTTGTCCAGCAATTTCTGCAGGTTCTGCAACTGCTGCTCACACTGGACGTGGCTGTCAGCGCTGGCTGTCGCATGGCTGCTGGCCAGCACCGTGTTGAGGTCTATGGGATTGGAGGAGCGCGCATTGGCACTAGTTAGCAACTTCTTGAGACGCACAATCTCATCCACCAGAGCACCTATATCCTGCTCGCTATCTTTGACCTCCTGTACTGTACTACCCGGCGCTGTACGGGCTTGCAGCTGTTCCAGCTCCTGCAGCTGCTGCTTGAGAGCATGGATGCTGTCCTGATCCTGTTGTCGCAAACGGTCGTAGCTGCCAACCGTGTTGCTTAGCTCGGCCAGGCGAGACTCCAAGTTGGCCACCCGATCCTCATGCAAGGCTGCCTGTCGTCGGCTTTGCTCTTCGGCACGCAGCACGCGTCGCTGCTCCTGCTTGATGGCCACCGAGTGCTGCTCCTTCAATTGCTGCATCTCCTGGCGCACCTGCTGCAGTAACACGTTGCTATCGGTCGCCGATATTGCAGCAGTTGTTTGCTCCGCTTTGGCCTGCCATTGCTTGAGCTGGGCACGCGCCTCCTTCAACTGGAGCTGCAGCTCTCGCAGGCGGCTATTCTCGGCCTCGTTGCTGGCAAACTGGGTTTTAAAATTGTTCAGCTGCATCTCAATGTTCTCTTTGAGGTGTCGCTCGTCTGCGTACAGCTTCTGGAGCTCGCGCAGCATAATCATTTGATTGTTGGTCTCCTTTTCACGTTCCTGCCTCTCAATGATCCACTTTGCTTTCACTTCATCCACGTCGTTTTTAGCGCGCTGCGCCTGCTCCTTGGCCTTGGCGTGCAGCTCCTGTATGATCTGTTCCTTTTGAGCTATCTGTGCGCGCAGCTGCTTCTTGTCCGCCTGAAATGACGCCTCCATCCGAGACTTTTCCGCAGAAAGTGTAGCCAGGGAATTCATGAGTGTTATTATCTGCGTCTGTAGCTGACCTTTTTCCTCATTGCCCCCGGCTATATCGCTGCCTGAGGCTGTGGAGTCATCGGTCGCATCGCCATTTACTTCGCCGCCGGTTGCGACTGCTTTGGAATCGACAGCATTTGAATCCTTGCCAGATGTAGCTTCGGCATGCGCTGCTAAGCTCGTCTCCAGTGCCTCCTTCTCTTTGAGCAAGCCCTTGTACGCTGTGACCACGTCTGCAATTTTTGTTAATTAGCTGCAATTTACATTTTGTTTATTGCACAACGATTTACCCTTGAGCCGCTTCTCGTATCGTGACAACTGCTCCTTCTGCGTGGCCACTAGAGCCTCCAGCTCACGCTGTCGCTTATCCATGTTTCATTCGTTCCAATTGCAAGCGATCAAGTTTTGCACAACTAAAATCTGAATTTAATTATTTCTATCGTGGCAAACAAATTGAAATCAACTGCAGCCCAGCTTTACGATACCCTGTACTTTAATCGGATGTTGATATGATTTCCTGATAAGAATTTGTAATATTTGATTACTATTCAGTGCTTGTTATTTCATTTATTGTGCTCATATTGAAAGCGTAAAGCAAGTGTAACTGCGATCGGAACCTAAATATGTTTATGAATATGAAAAATAAATTAAAATGTACTTAAACATATGTAATTAATTAAACGTTTATATTTCATTACACCTTATTGTCATTATAGCTATGTTTATAAATTCAACAATACAAATAATCAGCTATCGTTGTTTACTTTTCCATTACTAATAACAGCAGTTATAGAAGTAATATTTAACGCATTGCTCTAAAACACAGGTATCTCACAGTCTGCCTTTATTCTTTYCTTTTGCTTGTTTGTTTGTGCTTTGGATAACAGCTGTTGACAGTGCTGCCAAGCTGATTTGTTTTATCAATTATTTTATCTTATGATTGAAATTGGCTGAGCTCTCACATTATATTTATTAATAAGAAATAATCATAAGCTACTATAAAAAGTATATATATATACATAAACAAGACTTATTTTTATTTTCATTTGCAAATGTTTCGATTCATGTACTCTGTCTATAGCTTTTGGCAGAGATGCCAACTTGATTTTATTATTAAATACTAAAGCTTATGAAAATATTTAAATACGCTAGCGGTTATGTATCACCGTCCTCTTTCATCATTTGTTCAATTATACGTTTACGCTCCTCTGCCTGGCGCAGCTTGCGCATTACCAAGTCCTCGTAATCTCTTGCAGTTGCATTACTCTGATTGGTTGGGGTTATTATTTTATCTTGTGCCGGCGGGTTTACCCACTGAAAGTGCAGGGGATTTGAAGGATTACCTTTCTCATAGGCCAGCACCATATCGCAGGCTTCTCGTGTCTTAAGCTCCACCATGGCACGTCCGCGAATTTTTGGGTTCATGACTAGCGCAACTACCTCGCCGTATTTCTTAAGGTACTGCATAAGACGCTCTTGTGTGTAGCCGCCGTTACTGTCATCGCCTTTATCACACTTCCATTTAATCTTGATGCGATGTTGGGCGGAATCAAAGGATGGCGTTTGCTGGCGTTGCTTCTGTTGCTCGGCGTAGTTGCGTTTCAGTTGCTCCCGCATCGCTTGTTGCTCCTCCTCTAGCAACTTGGAGCCTTCGCGCCGCAAGCGTTCGATCTGCTCCTGCAGCACCTCCTCATCGGTTTTACGCACTGTGCTGTACGGTTGCCCTGCCTGCAACTTATGTAGGGCTGCACGTTCTCTTTCCTCCAGTTCCTCTTTTAGCTTTTGTCTTTTACTGTCCAGTTGTTTGGTGCGAAGCTCAGCCGCCTTTTTGGCCCTGAGTACCTTGTCGTAGGCGGACCGGGCTGTCGCATCTGTTAGTATTTCCAGCGCCTTGGACAGCTCATGAAAACGTTCAACGGCCTGGGGATTATCGGGGTTCTTATCCGGATGACAGTCTAGCGCACGTTTTCGATACGCTTTCCTAATCTCGGCCTGCTCGGCGTCATTGGACACGCCGAGCAGGTCGTAGAGATTTATATCACTGTATTTTTTGCTGCTCATAGCTTAAATTAACACAGTTTAACAACAAATGTTGCAAACGTTTGCGAATTGTTTACAAGCCGGATAGGAATGCTTGCTGATCAGCTGTTTAGTGCGATAGGCTGGCAGCGCTGCGAGTCAGCGAATTTTAGTTTGTATGTATTTTAATTATAAGCAGATTAAAAAACAAAAAAGTATTTATTTATCATGATAAGGTAAATAAGGATTTTGTTCTGCGAATCTTTTCATTCCGTGATATTAGCTTCGAAATATTTGTAAATATATTTACAGGTGGTATCTACAGATCATCTGTTAATTGAGACAGATTGGCAGCACGTCGACCGCAACGTGTGTCCCATTTGTATATGCGTGAATAATCCAAATACTATAGATCTAGAGTAGTCAAAAAGATAATGAGTATTTACCACGACGAAGTCGAGATTGAGGATTTCGAATACGACGAGGAGGAGGAAATGTATTACTACCCTTGTCCCTGCGGTGATCGATTTCAAATTTCCAAGGTATGTCTGCGCATATCAAAAATTGTGGCAGTTACTTATAAAGGTTTCTGGCTTTGCAGGAGGAACTTATTGAAGGGGAGGAAGTAGCCACTTGTCCAAGTTGTTCACTGATTATTAAAGTCATATATGACGCGGTAATTTTGTTAAATTAATCTTGCAGTAGAAAAATTGCTGAACATCAAGTGAATTATATTTTTACAGGATATGTTTAAAGCGGAGGAGGACGAAACGGCGGCGCTTAACGAAAAGCTGAGCGACTTAAAGCTGGAGAAGAACTAGCTCCTATTTAGAGTTTCGTCGAGTGGGTAATGATCAATTTTTTATTTGTATACTTTCGTTTATTGTAAATAATGTGTTGACTAGTAAACAATTAGTTTAAATAATACTTTACCGCAAATATTTGATTACAGTTTTTGTTACATAGCTTTAAAAAAAATATGTCCTATAAATAAATAATGAATCGGAAATAAGACTCTCACAGAATGTCTGATAAAATGCAAAAAATATTCCCCGTGCAGATAATTTAAGATCAATATAAATAAACATTGTAAAGCTTAATGTACAACTACATAGATTATGTATTGCACTAGGCGCTAAATTTGAATATATATCATATTCAGGAAAACACAAGGAACTAATTTTAAGTACGAGTTGTGTGTGGAAATGTGAACATAGTTACATGGAAATATAATAAATCATAACAATATGAACTGTGCCTCGCGTTTCACTTTCTGCTTATGAATTAGGAATTCGACTTAGGTGTAAGCATTTGAGATATTGTTAAGAGTCATGTAGCATTTACAGAGAGAGTGAGACCATGTACTCCGTTCTGATATACTTGGGCCGACGTGTAAAAATGTGTGTTGTGTGTGGAACAGAGTTACTAAGTTTGATCAACTATGCTAGGTTGCCGTTCCAGTTATAGTGCCTATTGTTCCAGCCATGAGCCTGTGGTGTTATTCGGTGATTTAAGCTGTAAATAGTACCAGAGGTTAAGGCGAGTCTAGGTACTATTGTAAGGAGTATTTCACCTTTATGTTGAACTGCTTTAACGTGCTCTCTAGTGCCATGGCATTGCCCGAAAAATAAGCGGCAATCGCATTGTGCAGCAATATGAGCTGCTTGTGCATCACTTTAATCTACAGGATAAGCAAAGTTTATAGACCATATTGTATTTTTAGTCTAATCAAAACTCACGCGATTCTCGTCGAGAAATTGCATTTTAACGGCAACATCACCTCGCAGCTTCTCGTATTGATCCTTGTGATGTGCAAAGCTGCGCTGCGTTTCCTCCAGCGAAGATGCGGCTTGCGTTAATTCAGGTTTGCTGTTCTCCAAGTCCATCCGATAGGCATCGAATTCAATTCTGAATATAGAAAACAAATCGGTTTGCTTGTTCGAATATGAGCTATAGGCTATTTTGTGGTTTACCTAGCTGTCTCGTATTGTCGTATAGTTAGCAGAGTATCGTCTATGGTCTTATTGCACAGCGTATTCACCGATGAAATAAAAAAGTTTAATGCATTTAATAGCAGTTCACCATTTTTGGTCAAATTTCGTTGCGTTTCCGAGTTGCAGATGAACTCCTTCTGCAGCTCGGGATTCTTCTGCGCCAGATCAGCGAAGGCATCGGCCAGCGATTGCTGCGAGGCGACAACGTGTTGAAAGTGTGAGCTAAAAGCACGCGTCAAACGTAAAATGGATAAATATTTCCGTTGTGTTTCACGTAACTGTTCTATCTGTGCTTCCAGTTCCGAGTCAACGGTACGTTGCGATTTGCCCAATTTCTCGAGCATTATTTGCCGTGTGCATTTGTACGTTGATATACTCCAGTTCTTGAGGCTATCAATCTTCGAGGCGCTTGTTCTTATCAGGCTACTGCTGCCGTCTGCTGAGGTTAGAAAGCCATTGGTTGTATGTGGATTTGTTGGAGACATTGGCGTGGTGGGTGCTGCAAAGGAAACAAAAATCGTTTCGTTGATTCATAGATTGTTGCGTAGCTGGGTGACGCACCTGAATGATTTCGCAAAGGCAAACTGGTGGACATGCTTAACGGATTTCCTGTGCCAATGCTATGACTGCTATTGCTGCCGCTCACTCCCATCCCCATTCCGATTCCCATTCCTAGACTACCACCCTCTGTGCCTGTGTGGACGGCACCGCAGCTATCGTTCATGGATGGTGTGTCCTTGAGCATTTCATGTATGCTGCGCTCCCGTTCCGCCATGCTTTGCGTTCCTCGTTGCCTTATCGAAAAACTATAACTTAATTTCACCAGAAAAAATCGTTCAACTGCTCTTGCGAGGGGCAGAGGCGTAGACGAATTGCCCGGTGGTTGCACTTAAATCAATATCGCACGCTATTTGGTGCGTTTGAAATGCTTGCTCGTCTGTTATCCACACCACTTATAGTTGATTGCCAATGCAGTGCATTCGTAATAACAAGTTAAATAAGTTTTGAGCAGAGAAAAACCATAGAATTAAATACAATGCTGTGTGACCGACGTCCCGGCTATGTAAAAATACCAAATTCTTAGGTTACCACAATTTCGATACTATTGCCAAGTCCAAAAGTTGACGCCACTTCGATTATTAAAACTACGGTTTGAAAACAATTAAATAAGTCAGACAGCCGAAATATTGTAAAAAGTATAGAGCTTGAAAAGTGTGACAGCACCGTCGACCAATATTATAGAATACGAAAAACACGGAGTGACCAGTACTCCGAGCTAGCAAAATACCCATATTTTCTTCGCAGACATGAAATTTTCAGATACCCTAAGTTATGTACAAAATATTTCTTTTTAGAAACCTAATGCTGACAATACATGTATATTTGTAACTATCCAAGCTCGTCGCGCTCGCTTAATAAGAAAATATTTTTGTATTAATATGAGTGGCAGCACTGGCCTAACCTGATCTGTACGGCAGTTCATGTAAGTGGATAAAGTGAATGGCAAACAATATAATAATAATTTAAGGGGAATTTTGCCCAAGTTAAGCCACTCTTCTACAAATATACTATATACATATTTTTAAGTGTGATTTAACGAGCATATGTCGTGATTATGATACCAATGCAATTAGTTTTGGGCATCGGCTGCGTAATTGTGGCTGCAGTCGCTGCAATTTATTTTAGTCAACCGGTGCCTCAACGACCTCACTCGAGTGGAGGATGCAGAAACGATGATAATAACGATCGCAGCTTTAATAATAGCAAAAAGCGAAAGTTTCGTGAAAAGTGAGTATATTCTACTCTAATATACATAAATATATATATATTTTTTGTTTCTTTTAGCAAGCCTGGCGACAATTGTCTTATCTGCCTTGAAGAAATGACCGAAGAGTCGATGCATAAAATGCGTTGTGGTCATGCGCTGTGCAAGCTTCCTTGCTTTCACGAGTATCGCAAATGGCGTCGCAATTGCCCATATTGCGAACAAATCGTGATACGCATCGATCAGCCCGGCGACGCTTGCTCGATCTGTTGTGAGCCCATGGAAGTGCAGGAGATGGAATACCTTCGCTGCGAGCATGCGCTTCACACTCAATGCCTGCAGGAGTACAAGAAAAACAATTATAAGACTTGTCCTATTTGCTTGCGTAACATGTGAGCGCCTTTGTATGCGTCTCGAGCTGAATGCATGCAGTGTAAACTAGAGCAATATGAAATGCAGCTGATAATGGCACAAACATAGTTATAGATATATATGTCCGCATGAGCGTTTGTAGAAATCGAAGCAATTATATTGCAATACATGATCAATTGTTTTGATTGCAAAACTAATGTCCATCTTAATAAATTAATTAATATACAGAAATCTATTAGAATGCTAAAATTTGATACATTTGTAAACGATTAGTATGCCAGCAATTAATTAAGTGCTAAAGTGTTTACATTGATTCTACCGATAATGTCATATCAATGGCTTGCGCGAGTAATTCAAGCGTTAATAATATAAAAATAACATTTTTATATTATTAATACACGCATATGATAATAATACACGCATATAATATAATAATAAAAAAATAACATTTTTATATTATTAATACACGCATATAATAATGGCATTGATGGCAGATTAATTTAAGTGCCTTCTTTTACTGTTCACAAAAGTTTTATTAAAAGCTTTCTCGATTTGTAAATGCTTAAAGAAATGCTTCTAGTACAGGTGCCGCGCATTGTTTCCAATTTTCCCGCCAGCGCAAGTCCTGGAACTCTTGCAGGCTGCGCTTGAAGCGGGAGCGGGTCTCAATGATGCTTGGATTTGTAGGGAAGTGCTCGAACCACAGCCGCAGTTGCTCGGCCAGCTCCGAGTGATCGTTGAAGACAAATCCGTTCTCGCCGTGCTTCACTAGCTCTGAGAGGCTGAAGAGAGACATCTGATAGATTTAATCTGCCTGGATTGACATTTCCGACTTGCTCACCATTTGAAGTTGTAGGCGCAGACGGGCAACCCACTGCCAAACATATCCACCACTTTCATGGGCAAATCCAGCCCGCTTGTGCTCCAATGTAAGGATACGCCAAGATCCGCGCTAGCCAGCAAGCTCGCATAATCCTCAGCCTCTAGCCAGGGTGTTACGATCGAAACTTTTCGCCACTGCAATTTCGCTATTTGAGCCTCGTATTGTGACTTTTGTGGGCCCTTGCCGGTAATGATGCACAGCAAGGATGGATAGACATGTGGCTCGGCTGTAGCCACGCTCTCATAGGACTCCAAGGCTTTCAGGAGTATGCCAAAGTCTTCATCCGGCGTCCAACTGGTGCTCGACACGAGTATTGCTTGCCTCTGTGGCTTATAGAGCACCGTTCCATTGGCCAGCTTCTGAGTGAGTGAAGTTGACTCGAGCATGCCCGATTGCTTCAGATCCGCATAGCATGGCGCCATAAAAGGTGCATAATCTTTGGAAAGCTTCATGAATAGCTCGTGCTTTTGAGGAAGTTCTATGGGATGGAATTGCGCTGGCGCTCGATCATAGAGCACATGCACGGGCCTACAAACACAGTAAATCAAAAATTATATAGTAACGAAAAATAGATACGCACAAGGGCATTTCGCGCGCTCACCCAATATTCCAGTTGCGTTGCAGATCCTCCTTCATGGCATTAGTTACACAAAAGTGTGTATGAGCCTTGCTGCCAAAATAACGTTCCAGTCGCCTGGTAAGACGGATTAGCCGGTTCTGCTCTCCTCCGGCCATGCCCAACGCTAAGATAGTGTAGGTGTAATTATGCCAATCGATGGCTAACTTAGTTCGCGTCAAGGCGCAGTATAAATAGCAAACAATCAACGTGGGTATGCCGGGGGGGTTCTGTACAAGCAAGAAATTGGGTCGCCTTATCGAGATTAGGGCCATCAACAGACTTAACGTTTGCCAAATGGCTTTGAAGAACAGCTGCAATTTGGGTGTTAGGTTTGTGATGGGGACCGCAGAGAGTTCGTGAATTTTGCACTTGGGTTGTGCCACAGTTAGCGCATCTAGCGGCTGTGTCTCAATATATCCAATTATGTCCACATTGTAGTTGTCTTCGAGGAGGCTCTGAGCGTGGTATTGCATACGTGGACTGCGTCCGATATCTCCCAGCACAATGACGCAAGCATTGCGTTTTCTCAGTTGTAGTTCCACCATATTGTTAACCAAGTGTCGACTGATGCAATGAATCGCCTTAATTTACTGCAGTTCAAATGCAGTAAAAACTCATTTGTTATATCTTTCAATTGTTAACCAGGTAGCTCGCCATTGTGGCGGTTATGCGATATACATACGATTGAAAGATTCGTTAATCGATAAATATTGCTAGTAAAACAGCTGTGCAAAGAGTGTGGCCGTATATGGATTGACCATGCAACTTAACAGCTCAATTGAGTTTAACATTCTGTTAAACCGTTTGAGTATTTTGGCCGCGCACCATGTTAAAGTCACTTCAAATGTTTCCTTACTGTTGGTGTGCAAGGACGTAACGCGGCATAACGTATAACAGATCTGTTTATGGTTCGTGTTATTCAAACTGTGCGTGAGTGTGTGGGTGTTATTTACTGAATGCCCTCTGTGGCTACTATAACTAATAAATTAAAATTTATAAACTGTCAAGTGCATAAGTAACTAAACAACAAAAGCAAAAGAATATCAAAAACAGTCGCAACTAACGGGTCAAATCGTCTTTACTTTTGCCGTCTGCAATGCGGCAAAATTTTTGCCGGTAAGTGAATGAACCAAAAATACGCAATTTTGTTTTGGCATTCCGGTTTTCCGCTACATATTCGCCGGCACAACAAAGCGACCGCCCAAAATTCTCCCAGCTCCCTTCCCGCCCTCCACACCTATAGCAGGTTGGCGCCGTCGCTGTTACGAAGTCCCGTTCTGACTACCCGCAAAAATGTCAATTTCGTGTGTATGTGTTTGTGTCTGAGAATTTTTCGGTATTTGTTATTCAGTGAATGAGCTCTAAAAGTATGCAGTATTGTTTATTAATAATTTATGAATAATAAAAGTAGACGTTCTTAATAATAATATCAATAGTGGTATGTGTGTGTGAGTGTTACGCACAAAGATGTATACGCTTTACGTTACGAGTGAATGGACATAAATACGTGTTCACACACACACACACATACACAAATGTATTTAGTTTATCCCATTAGAAAACTGTCTGCAGCGTCTGCGTTGCCAGACGAGACACAAGCACTTCTCCTCTCTCTCTCTTTCTCTCTCTCTCTCTCTCTCTGTGTCCGCTGGTGACTTGCCGCCTGCATATTCAAAGCCAGAGTCAAAGCCAGACCCAGAGCCACCCCCAATGACAGGCCCAGAAGCTCAGCCATCACACAGGAGCTCGGCACTGGCAATAGCTGACTGGCGGCTGTGGGTGGTGGGCGGTGGGTGACTGTTCGGTTCATCCCTATGTGGACCTGGTCTGCTGCAACTTTTCGCCGTTGGTTTTTGATTTTTGTGCGGCGTTTTATTGCGTGTCTAAAGTTTTGTGGCGCATTTTGTTTCCATATTTGGCTGGAAAAATATGCAGGAAGCGTCGTCGGTTGAGACGTCGGCTCATTTTTTGCAAGTGTATTTGAAATGCCAAATACCGCTATGATATCCACATATAATGGTTCTATGTCAGTCTTGCTTGACTAGCCCAACACCCTGTAGATGGTCAAACATAGTTAAATAATAAAAATAGTCATCGATCATAATAATTTAGCATTATCTCCTCACACACATTCAAAGGGTTCACAAACTAATTAACTCGTTTTCTCTTATTTTGACAGCAATATAACAACATATCATAACGGATTATTAATATATATAAGTGAACTGTTCATCCAATAAAATCAAAATAGGAAAAGTAAAAAGAAAAGTTGACGATCTATTGAAAAATTGTCTATATCGTGTCGTGGCTAATCGGACTAAATATAATTCACTGCGAGCAGCGAGCGAGAGCAGAGAGCAGCGAGAGGTAAGTTGCCATAGTTGAGAGTCGATTAACGCGACATCAACTGCAGCTCCAGCTGCAAGTGCCACAGCAACGCGTATGTGGCATGCCGTGGCAAGTGCTTCATTTGAATAATTTACAGAGGGGAAGAGCTGTGGCAGAATGTGCCGGCGCGTGTCTAGACGCGACAACAACTAATGCAATTTGTTGAGAGAGACAGAGACAGGGAGAGAGAGATAGAGAGGGAGATATAGAAGGAATAGGATAGTTGGTGAACGGGCAAAGGCGGAAGGTGAGGCTGATGTAGGCATAGCCAAAGAGACCGCTGTGTGCAGCTGCCTGGCAAAATACTCGTGTATCCTAAACAAACTTCCGCCTCGTCGGTGCACATACCAAATATGTAGCTTGGCTATAATTAAAGAGGTGCGTGCGGGATAGAAAAAGAGCCAGCGAGAGAGAGAGAGAGAGAAAGAGAGAGAGAGAGAGGAGAAGCTGCTAGAGAGCGACAGCGACAAGTGCATGCACAGTTCTTCTGCGGCTATTTTTGTTGTTTGCATTGGCTTTTCTTATCGCTCTCCCTCGCTGCCTCCGCGTCCCTCTCGTCCCTCTGCTACATGAAGTGGAAGACGCTGAGTTAACAAACGGCGCCAAGTGCCATTTGCCCAAAAAGAGGAAACTCGACACATGTGCGCCTTGAGTAGAAAAGGTTCACGAGTTCTATAGGCTTCAAGTGCGTTAAAATATATAGCAACGGACGGACAACTACTTCCAATGCATATCGAAGTGTGCCAAACTGTCTGCTGCAGGTCACTCTGGAGTCACAGCAAGTCAAACTACCTAAATAACAAGTCATATCTTCAATGTTAAAACAGCTCAAAGTCAGGGATTGTGGGTAGTTCAATTTGTGTCTGGTCTTGAGTGAACTCTGAACCCCGCGATCTTGCTATATCAATTCAAAGTATAACAAAACTTTGTATTTATTATAGGAACTCGTAGCATAATATCAGCTTTACATGTTAAATATAAAATAATATGATCGATTTATATCGATAATAAAAGTCGTATAAACTTTGCGATACAATTGACGAACGACAAGTCCAGTGGACTTTCCAGCCTTTCCCATTTTGTTTATAGATCTGCAAAAATTCATTGCTTTTGGAACTGTATAATTCGATCTCAATTGAATTCTATTAGAATTAGTCAGCTTCTATTTTAACATGAGCTTTATCACCCCATAAGTGATTGGATCGGTGAGGCTTTGAGAAGC